AAAGGCTTTAAGAGCTGGTACTTGTCTCTGACTGAGATAGTAGTCTTGTATGTTAAGATCAGAGTATGTGACCTTTACTTGGAGACTGATGAGATCAGCCTTAGGTTCTCTCCATGTTACTGAAACTGTCAAGAGTGGTTAATTATCTTGTTAGTACATAATGCATTTGGCTGCTGCTATGCTTGCAGTAGTCTAAGTATTTCAGATTTTGAGAAAAATGAGCACTTATAACAAGCCATGTAAAAATTAACAGCATATGTCCTTGAATATATGCCTCTTTCAAACCTCTAGTGGTGCTGGGATTTGCGTTTTAGTACAAAATTTTCTGTGTTCTGGAAAGTGTGTCTACTTCAGAAATTTGAGATGCTTTGGTAGCCTTGTTTGAAGTGTGAGTCTGAACTCTTGATTTAGAATATTATCTAGATTCATTAGCCAAGATTTTCAGGATGTTATCAGTTGTCAGGAGGCACTGCCTCATTGTCAATATTTTCTTCTTATGGTTTTCTGTTTTCAGCCTCTCTGAGAATTCTTACGGCAGTTGAATTCAGCTTGTAACTGTGCATGTGAAGGTGGAAAATAATGAAAACTTGTTTTTCAGGTTGACACAAACTTAAGCTTATTCACATGAGTAGTCTAACTGAAGATATGTTAAAGTATTTTTCTATAGATTTGGTCTAATTTACAAAGTTACAATTACTGGACAACAATCTAGTTTTTAATCCCTGAAATTAAAGTTAAATTGCTGTATGGCCAAGAGGAAGAAGACACGAACGACACTGGAGAAGTGAATCCAAATTCAGTGAAACTAACTCACTATAAATATTCTTTAAAACATTTGAAATAACATAAAAATACAGCGGTGCTTTTCAGTCAAGTTTCAGTTGTAGTTGGATAAATGGATAATAATAACCTTTTCCAAGGCCTGGAAAAGGTTTTTCTGACAGTTTTAGCTTTGTCTGTGCGTCTGTAGGATTAGATTAGCACACCAACCTGGTAACTAGAGCATCCATTTTCTCACCTGGAAGTGGGTGGGTATTTGAAGCCCTAAGCACTTGCAAGCCCTACGTGTTGCTAGGCGAGGCTATCTGTTTTGTACTTGCAAATACAGATGCTGGTTGTCTCAACAAGGGGGCTGAGGACAGAGGGGAAGAGACACTGGCTCTCAAGGCAGCCCCAAAACTCTGCTCTTTGCAGCTCCAACGTTCTGTGCTCATCTCTGGCATTTCTGAGAGCTACTCCTGCAGGGGACTTGATTTAGCTGTCAGTGCTTTATTAAAATGAGTAACTACTGATAGTACTCAACCATAATTGTTTCTCAAGGGCTAATATTGTGCTGTCTGTTGTACTAGAATGATTTAATATTATCTAGGGATTTAATTTTGGTTTAATTTGTTGCATATATACAATTACATATTGAATAATTTGGCTTTACTTTCAGACTGAAGATGTCAAAACTGAACTGACAAAAATTACTGTACTGTATTATTAATTTAAAAAGAATCAGCTTTACTGATTTTCTTGTTATTCTAGTATAAAACCACAACAGTATCATCAGAGACATAAGGTTTCATTGTAATCTGTTTTGATAGCAAATTTGAAATGAATCAAAATCATGTTTTTTATTCTTAATTTTTACTGATGTTATGCATATATTATTCTTTACCTAAAAAGGACATTTCTGAAGGTTTGAATTAAAATAATTTATTTTTTTTTAAAGAAATAAGTCTTGGATTTAAAACACGCTATTAAGTCACCTTTAAATATATGCCATAGATGTAGGAAAAAAAACCTTCTAGGATCTAGTATTAATTTTCTTCAGTCTTTGATCACATTTCCTTACTTGTTTATAACACGCTTTTTACACATAGTTTTCAAGCAGAATTGTTATAAAACAGTGTTGTTCACTCAATACCATATGCCTAAACATCCTTTAGTCTTGAGACTTACCCTTTCACAAAGAAAATTAAGACTAGATTGTAAAGATTTTACACAATACAGTTAGAAATCTGGAACATTAGTTGTTAAATTTGGAGGACACCATCCCATCAAAACCTTAGATTTATAACCTGGTAACTTATATTTTCTTTTCTACTTTCTCAACACAACTGCCCACAGCTTCTCTGCTTTCCCTCTTTCTCCTTCTCCACCCATCTGTTCAATTGTGAGTCCCAAAGAAGACTATGCAAAATTAGCACTCTCTCATCACAGCAGTCAGCAATGGATCTCAGAAACAGTTTATCCACTTTGTGCCTATCCCAGACTTTCGTCCTTCTTGGCTATAGAGGCTAGATTAAAAGGTAAATTTTGTCCAAAAGAATTTTGTTGATGATGGCGCAGATCAGATTCTTTGCATTTTAACTGGAGGGGAGAGAGGGGGAAGCAGAGAGGGAGACTGCTTGTGGCAATCGTACCATTTCCGTTCTTATTGCTGTCTTCTAGCATGTCATTGTGCAGTGTTAGTTTTCTGCTTCTGATTCATGTGATCTTGTTGTGCCATCCTTCTTTATTGTGTGCTGTCTCTGCACTTACTGAGCAGTCCTGCCAAAGAGGACAGCTGCTGGTTCAGTTGCTGTAGCATTGCCATAAATAAAAAAAAAAATAGAGAACTCTGAATGTGTTAATTATGTTGTCTTTCCTCTCTGAAATAATCTATTCTGCAATTAATGAAAAGTAGATGAAAAGTAGACCTGATCCATGGAAGAACCATGCCTGTAGCTAAACATCTTTATTTTTCCATTGCAGGATATTTGTGAAGATATATCTGATCACGTTGAACAAATTCATGCTCTGCTAGAGACTGAGTTTTCCCTGAAGCTTCTGTCTTACTCTGTCAATGTGATAGTTGATATCCACACAGTACAACTGCTCTGGCATCAGCTACGTGTTTCTGTTCTGGTTCTGAGGGAGCGTATTCTCCAGGGACTACAAGACGCCAATGGAAACTACACCAGGCAGACTGATATTCTGCAAGCATTTTCTGAAGAGACTAAGGAGGTATAGTAACTAAATTCAATTTTGAGAATTTCATCTGTATTTGAAGAACCTCATCTCTGCTGCACATTTAATATTGCTAGGATGACAGTTTTAAGGATGGCTCTCTTCTACACATTTTGCTAATTTTGTGTTTAAAGTGTCTTCAGCTGTGATATCTGTGCTCATTGAATCAAATTAAAACAAATAGTTTAAGGTCATCTTTCAGAAGTGTCGTGCTAGTGGCTAGCAATGTTTACCCCTGATTTAAATGTTTTTCGTAAAGGATTGAAAACACTTACAGAGGTGCATGTTGTCCACAGTCCTTGATCAGGTCACTCGTCAATCTAAGGTTCATATCCAATTTAAAACTCAGATTTTATGTGCAATAAATTCTTTAGTGAAAAGCTTAGACATTTACCTTCTTGCATATACAAATCTGAAGCTTACACAATGTTTTCCAAAACTTTCCAGACTAGGTCAGTATTGCTTTATACCCAGAGAGCATGGTCTTTAATATGTTTGAGCAGCATTTCTACAATACGTCTGTAAACAGTCACACAATTTTGTCTGAGCAACAATGATACATCCATCATACATTTTTTAATCTAAATGGGTGTCAAATTCACACACATGTAAATGGTTTGTATATCTGGATTCATTTAACTAAAATGCCTTTTCCTTTGAAATCATTATTACTAAACTAGCTTAGTTAGAAGGACATTACTGGCCTAATTTTTAAAACTGAAAGAAGCAGCACATTATTAATAGTTAGGGTAATTAATGGTTAATACAAGATCGCTTAACATGTAGAGAATTCATTTGCTAGAAGTCCTAAGATTAGGAAAAAATGCTTTTGTTAGGATTAGATACATTTACAGAAAGATATCTCAAGATCAGTGCAATGAGATTCTGCAACCTGTGTTACAGAGGAAGTCAGAAGTCCCCTAAACATGTCCTGAATTTCAGATCACTCAAGTTTAAAGAGAATGTGCATATTTCTCTGCTCCCTGTTGGGTTTTATATTTGTCTTTGGCACAACAGAGTGGGTGGTCCTGAAATCAATGCTCAAATACGTCCAGGCCCACCTTCCACACCCCCTCTTCCTGATGGATACGTACCTGCTGCTTCAGATTCATTTTCTGCTTTGCTTTTTCTGGTAAATCTTCTCTGGCAAGTCTGAAGGAAGTACACGCTTGTTTGAATATCCAGAGTGGCGACTTACGGTGAAGTCTTTATTTCATGACATGAATGTGGTGATTTCAAGACATAAGGAAGGGGCAGATTCAGATACTAAGAGACAGGAAATCTCCCATCTGGGTTCGATTACAACTGCTATAAAAAACATCCCTCCAATACAGGGGAGGACTGCCTGGGGAAGGATAGATTATTTTTCAGTGGGGAAAAACATGTTTCCAGATAGGCTTATATGGTAATAAAAAAGACAAAACATCTTGACACGATTCTTTTTTTCCACCCCAACTAAAACATAAATAATATTTGATAAAATTAATGGCTAGCAATAGCAAGGACACAATACTGATATTACGTTTCTGCTCTAGTGCTTGAATAGGTTCCCAGAAATTGCTCTGCAGTTTTTAACTTCCAGGTATTTATTCATGCTTTTCATTAGGTATAGTGGTAGCGGCTTTATTTCACAAAAATAAATAAATAAATAAGTAAAGAAATAAATAAAATGTAGAGACAATTGTATCTGCTCTTATCTACCTTCTTTTTTTGGTGTTTCCCCCATACCCTTTCCCAGACAGGACTACACTGCAGGACTTGTAAGTGCCTTACGATACAAGTATTATCTATTAGGGATTTTCATGCATATGTGAATAGTAAGACTGTTTGAGCAAACCTACCAACCTTTGCTGACACAGATAACCCTTCCTTGGAGAATCATTCTCCTAATTTTCAGTACTCCTTGGGGATTATGAACCAGGAATGACAGCTTAATTTTTTCGCCTAAGATTGAGAAGTCATCTGTTTTGAAATGAATAGGAGGAAACTCACATTTGACAAAGATTTTTACTTTGGAATTCACTACTGTAGGACACTTAGAAGTGGAAAGAAGTTCAAAAAATAAATGTGAAAACTAAGCAAAGATAGGAGGAATTATAACCTCCAGATGAAGATCAGCATAGGCTGCTCATTAGTAGAAGCTGGGAGTGCGCGTAGAAATGTCGTGCGTGGAAGGGCCGTGTGTGTATACCCATGCCTTATAGCTCAGCTAGCAGAAAATGTTTAGAAGTGATGCAGAGACAGGATACTGGGATAGATGGAAATTTGATCTGAGCCAGTACAGCAAATGTTATGCTTTTCTGTAGTCATGAACCTATTGATAATTTCACAAAATATTTGGCTCACTCCTTAAGTCATCCCTCTTCTACGTAATGGTCAAGAGCGGCTTTGACTGCCAATGTTAACTGAGGAGCTCCATGGAAGAAGTGACCTGCCAAAGCTTTGTTCATGTTCAGTGAGACAGTCTCATCTCATTAATATTCACTACTCTCTCAGCTCATAGGCTGCACAGTCAATCAAGGCGCAACAGTCCTGCCTGGGCTAAATTTACACTGCAGCTGTAACACACATAAATGTGTGTAAGAGAGCCTCAGCATGATGAACAGGGATAACACCGGGACCAAAACATGAAAGCGTACAGCACATGCCATACCGGCTTGGTTAGGAACCCAGCTCATTAACCGGGCAGGCAGTAACTGCACTTTTGGCTACTGCAGCAGTGCCATACTAAGTAAGATGCCAGCAGGAAAGGGCACAAAAAGTTTTATGGCTTGGAGGAAACGAAGGAATCAGTGAGGCAAGCTGCCTGCCATGACGGAGGTGCCAAATTAAGAAAATACGTTTTTTAATAAAAAGCTTTGGAGAGTTAAGAGTTTGAAGGATCATTCATTTCTCCTTCAGGAATTACCCAGAGATAGATAAGAAGGAAAGAAAAATGAGCTCTGTGCAGCCTGAGTTCTGTCCAGCTGAACCTAACCTGGGAGTTTTATTTCACAGTTGATAAAGCCAGGAAATGGGGAAAGGATCAGTATAAGGCTATGTTAAAATATAGTGAATCCTGATGTTCTCAAACAGTTGGTAAAGTCACAAAAGGACTATCTTATAAATTAAATCAGCTCATTTGTAAGAATAAAAAAAAAAGGCAGAACTGTGCTGATTTAAATATAAATAAAACAAGGTATTAGAAACAGCCTACAGAGCTTTACAGGAAGCATTACTATGTGAAAAGGGACAAATTTTTTGAACAAAGATATTACTGTTGGTACCCACGCAAAAAACTAAATGTAGTATTTTTCTGAAATTAAAACAATAATAAAAACATACTGGCTTTAACTAATGCTCCTCTGAAGCACACACTTAAGAGGCTGCTTGGAAAATGACCAAGCAAGATGGTTTAATGCATGTGATTGTAAATTTTATTAATGTTAATAAACACATTTTTAAGAGACAAATGAATGGAGCTCATTACTCAGCAGAAATGAAGGCCCTTAGGGCCTTGGAAAGGGTTTTGATTTATACACGGTTTTACAGTTTCTAATCTTTTCCTGAGATTAGAGGGAAAATGCAGCTGTAATACTGATCATTGTTTAGTCATCATTTTCCTTAACAAATGCAGCTCCAAAATATAAATTTGATAGATTTATAGAAACTTCCCCTTTTAATTCTGGACTATTGACACCGTACAATTTGTGGCATAGGTTTTACATCTGGATAGAGTGTACTAAATAAAAGACATTTTCAGTGTCCAAGATTATGGTTGATAAATAACTCTCCAATCAATCTTTTCTATAAATAATATTTTTAGCCAGAGAATTTTTTATATTTGTACTTGGAGTAATGCAAGGCAGGTGGACAGAGTACAGGGCTCAAATACCATGTTTATAGAAGATGGCAAACAATCACCTTCTTTATTGAGACTGTTCTTGTTCATACCAAAATCCAAGCGGTTTATTCTGAGATTAAGAGATTGTGGGGTTATTGTACCTTTTTCTGGCATGATGCCTAAGGTCCTTAAACTATGGATTTAGGCAGTGTAGGGAGACAAGCTGTTTATAGAGAGTAATTCAGACAGGAACCTGTAGTGGGTACTCAAGAGTTTGCTTTAAAAAACTCTATTATGAAATACAGACCTGGGTAGAAAGACCAGTATACCGATTTAGGCACTGAAAGTTAAAATCCTAAAACATGAGTTTCTGCCCTTTGTAATGCTTTTTAAGTAGTTTCTCTAAGCAATGCTAGCGCTTTTATTTTAAATTCTGCTTTTCAGTTTCTTTTGTCCAGTTGACATGCTCTGCCAATTTGTCTTGTTCTAGGTAGTTTCATGGAGTTACTTCATATGTACACCAGTGTAAATAAGAACAGAAATTGTTTCAGAATTATTTGATCCTGTGTTTAGGTTTCATATTATGTGCTGGGATCTGGAAATTGTTGAGGTCTGCCTTGGTGTTAGAACGTTATATCATCTACTACAAATATGCTTATAAACTGTTGACTAAATATATTTTTGCTGTGATTGTTATGTATCAGGCTGCTTTTGGATCTTAATGCAGTCATATTTTTTTAGTGTCCTTCAAATAAAACACCAAAATATTGACAAACACTAATTCTACTTTGATCTTAAAACCTCATTTGCCACCTCAGATGGTCTCCTCCTCTGACTATGTTTGTGTTTCTGAGATTGAAGGACTTCCATTGAGAAGATGCTGACAAGGGGACGTGGCAGGCTGGAGGTTTAGGATTCCCAGCTATAGTTTCTTTTCCTTGAGCTGTTCTCCATTTGTGCTGCAAATATCCAGCAGATAAATCCTCAGTTGATAAGGCTACAAAAAAGAGAAATGTAGTTAGCAACCTCTATCTCATAAATACAGGAAGAAATGTCTGTAATTGCTAGATGATGCTTGGAAAAAACATTCTGGCAATCAAGTGAAAGATTTTAGAGCAGCATGGATTTCTGAGAACACACAAGGTGGCTGATATACTCAGCAGTTCCCAAGATCCCTTCCCTCCTGCCTGAGGTGGTTAACACAGGAAATACTACGAGTCTGCTATATGGAATTTCTGAGTCCCCCTTACAGAGTAAGTAGAACTGAGAGCAGGATTTAAGGAGGACAATACCAATAGAAAAGTGAGTTGCTATTTCTAGGTAAATTGCTGCACCAGACTGAAACTAAACATTTTTCAGTTTACTGCCACTTTTAATGCCCAAATACTTTAGAACGGTTTGCTCATCTACAGGGCACTGCAAAAACAGGCAGGTCAGCGATGAATGCTTTTCTAGATGTTAGGCAGCGAAACATAGAAGCTGATAGTTCATTGCTCTGTGTGCTGTATATGAAAATTAATCTTCTAAAAAAGTACCTTTTCTTTGTCTGTTTCAGGACCGTCTTGACTCTTTAACTGAAGTTGATGATTCTGGACAGTTAACCATCAAATGTTCTCAAAATTACTTGTCACTGGATTGTGGTATTACTGCATTTGAACTATCTGACTACAGTCCTAGTGAGGATTTGCTTGGTGCTCTGGATGATATGACCTCCAGCCAAGGGAAAGCAAAATCATTTGAATCCTGGAACTACAGTGAGATGGATAAGGACTTTCCAGGACTTATCAGAAGTGTGGGTTTACTTGCAGTAGCAACTGATTCCATTGCTTCCCAGTGTAATGAAGCATTAAATGAGAAAGAAACCAATGTACCTCTTTCAGCAGAAGATGGAGAAGAAAGCAAGGATGGGAAAGCACCACATGACCTCTCACTAGTGTCTCCTTCTGCAAATTCCTCTCTTTCTAAAGGAACTTGCTCTGAAGATGGTGTTTTACCTACTGACAGCAAACCAGTTTCCACGTTAAAGAAACCAGAATGCAGTCTTCCACAGCACACCAGTGAAAAAATCAAACATTCTCACTATGAAAACTCAACTCCTAAGAGGTCCATAAGAGACTGCTTTAACTATAATGAAGACTCCCCGACACAGCCTACATTGCCAAAAAGAGGTCTATTTCTGAAAGATGACGTGTTTAAAGATTATATGGAACCCAATGACTTACAATGGCAAATCTCTCAAATAGTTAAAAATGAAATGAGTAGAAGTACACCCTCATTGTTAGATCCACCAGATAGGTCCAAGCTTTGCCTAGCTTTACAGTCACCCTACACCAATAGTCCATCTGCAGTTAGTCAGTCATATGATTGCTTAAATACAATAGATGATAGAAATCTTGAGTACACAATAAATAATCACTTTAAGTACAGTCCCATAAGTCTAGGGAAGTCTGCTTTCTACACCTGTAAAGAAAAATCAAAGCACAAGAAGTCTCATGATGCTTCAGAGAAAGTGAAATCTGGCAGAACACCTGGAGGTATGTGTAAAATGGCTCCACCAATACAAGTGAAAAGAGGACGTTCTTCTCTACAAAACGGAATTACTTCTCATAACTCTCATTCTCTGGAGGAGACGGAAACAGATTCTTATGCATCATCAGATTCTTGTAACCAGAGAGACCCAAATGGAAAATCACAAGGTAAAACTGAGCTTTTTAGTTCACCAACACGTAGCCAAAAGAGTGCTTCCTCAGCTGATTCTCAGCTTACCAACTCATCACCTCTTCTGCTGAGAAGAAAGAATAATAAAAGCTTCTCCTCAGCACCCAGCTATACTCAAAAAAACAGTAAAGATGGTGAGGCCTGGTATGGATCTGATGAATATTTAGCACTTCCTTCACATCTCAGACAGACTGAAGTATTAGCTTTAAAACTAGAAAATTTGACAAAGTTGCTGCCCCAAAAGCCCAGAAGAGAAACCATTCAAAATGTTGATGACTGGGAGCTTTCAGAAATGAACTCAGATTCAGAAATGTATCCAACATACCAGACAAAAAAGCACAAAAAAATGGGCAGAATTTCACCAAGCTCTTCAAGTGACATAGTGTCTTCCTTAGGTGACAGTATTGAGTCTGGGCCTCTCAGTGATATTCTTTCTGATGAAGATCTTTCTATGCCTGCATCTTACATTAAAAAATTCACTGAAGAAAAGTCAGAAAGGACTGCTGTCACTCAGCCCACTGAGAATGAGACTTCTGCCTCAAATAAATCAGCTTTAATTCATCAACTGATGCAAGATATACAACATCAAGAGAATTATGAAACCATATGGGAAAAAATTGAGGTAAGGCAATAATCCTGCGTTCTTTCGCTGTGTTCTTGATAAGCCTGTACATGGAGATGGAGCTGTGGGCAAGGATGGAGTTGCTTTCTTGTTTTCTTTTAATAATGAAAATAATCTCATCTATTGACTGCTAGAAGTAGAGAACAGCAGTGATCATTGTAATTGTAATAGACTGCAGTTCATTTTAACTAATTATACAGAATTTGCCAGCAGTATTTTACTCACACCAATGCCTTTAAACTTGGCAAAACATTATTTTATCAATAGAGCTTCTCTTTGACAAGATCAGGTACATGATAAGGTTTTTTTTGGATGAAGTGAAAGATAAACATTGGAAAATTTTGGATCTTTGTTGTATTTGAATGAAGTTATACTTAATATCATCTGCCTGTTTTCTTTATAAAAAAAATTGCTTTAGTCCAATAATAGAAGAATAATTTTCTTGATTCCTGTCATATCATGTATAATAACCACATTTCTTTCTAATCAGTTCTCTTCCCTTGCAGTGATTATTTTCCCTCCAGTATTGGTGAAACTAAGCATGACATCTTTTTTTCTTTTTTACTTAAATAATCCTTCTTAAATAATGACAATTTAATAGTGCAATATGCTAGAGCAATAATGGCAATATACTATCCCATTACACTTCAGATGAGATACGATTTCATTCTTGGCTTCTGGCATCGCTGCTTCAGAAGTGACTCTCCTTTATAAAGTTGATACATTTGCAGTAGTTAACACTACGAGAGACCTTTTTGAGAAAAAAGATAAACTTTAGAAAGGGAGGTGAATTTGAATGAATAATCAAATAAGGACCTAACCACCTCAATAATATAATTGTTAGCTTACATTCATAGTAAATTTTTGTTTCAGTTTTCTGACGGGTTTGTCTTCCTGGCCATTGTAGAGAACTCTCCTATTCAGAACATTTTGTGTCCATCCTCAATATAGTTTAGTAAAATGGCTGTCGATTTCAAAATCCTTTAAAAATAATGAAATATGCATTAGAGGGTGATCTTGGCATTTAAATGCTTAATGTGGTATTTGCATTATCTTCTGTGTTACCAAGCTTTGTAAGAGCTAGGAAAAAAAGGCTTAGTTTTACAACTTCAATATATGCTTCTTATGATGCGTGATTTCTATAACTTCTGAAGACATTGGAAATACGATTAGTAGAAAAGTAGTTGAGCTAGAGATGTTTGAGTATAAAGTCAGGATAGAACACACAGAAAGAGAAATTTCTTCTTAAACAAAAGAGGGAGCAGCAGTCGTCAGCCTTGAAACAGTCAGCTCTAAAGGGCAGCACTTAATGATTCAACTTGTTCCCTCCATCCTGATGGCTGCGATTCATCTTCCAGACTCTGATGAAAGAACCATCTTCATAAGTGCAAGCTGCTTCTGTGCTTAAGTTTGTGCAGTGTTGAAAATTGGTCCAGATGAAGCTGACAGATACAGAGCCCTTCATTCTGTGCAAGCAACAAATCCCATCAAAGCTGCTTGTGAATACATAGGATGCTGTCTTTCAAATGATACTACAAGAGCCTGTTTAAAGAATGGAATTGTTGAGTGTCTAGGGACCAGCTCCCTACACTAGATGCTGACTACCATCCTTTTGGCAAGAAGCAGGTGGCAGGGAAACTTTTTACATCGCCCTCTCAAATCATCATGTTTATTTTTCTCAAACTTTTTGAAAAGGTAGTTCTCTTTTTGGGGGTCATCTGTCTTTGTGTGATTCCCTGCAGCTGCAGTTCAGTCCTGCCAGGATGGAGCAATAAGAACCAGCTGTAACAACTGGCTGCAGCTGTAAACACCCTCTTCCTCTCCATACCCATCCTCTCCTCACCTCCTCTGGAGAGTTGATTGAGCTCCTGACAGCAATTAAAGGTAGTTAGCTGTTTCTGGCCAGAGTAAACCCTTCTAGCTAGTGATTACAGCTGCTGCTCTTGTCCTTGAGGAACTTTGCTACTGCTGATGCTGCTTTTTCTACAATTTCTCAGTGTTCCTGGTTGTGATGAACATTTGGGAAATGCTGATCATGGAGTTCGAAAATAATCTTCTGAAGCATGTTGTGGGAAGAGGCTCAGAGCAGGAGAAGGGCTTTAAACAGAAAGAAGACCAGATGCAAAGAGCACTGCTAGGCAAAGAGATAGCTCAGTGATCCATGCCCTTAAAAGCAGCACACAAGAAAGTTTAATATTTATTTCATGGAGAAAGATGTACGCTAGCTACACTAAATGGCTTGAAAATGTACTTCCTGAATGGTGCATAAAAATAATCAAGAGAAATGTTTTGAAATGTTTTGCAAAGCAATTATAATATTTTAAAGAAATATGAGGTTTTCCCAAGCTGCTTATTTACCTAGGTTTTTCAAATCTTGCTCGAAATTATATCTTCTGTTTGTAAGACTAGTAAAGAACCAATTTTTCAATATGAGAGCTCTTACCGAGGCAATTCCTGCCTCAGTTACACTACGGTGCCTAGCTGAGATACTTTAATTTGACATAAGTAATAGAAAAATAGAAAATTCCTCCCTTATGTGATGTTATGAAGTGTTGTAAACAAAATGTAACTAAAAATACCATACCCGTGTCACAGTTGAGTCCTTTCTTTTGCTAGATCTCCTGTTTCATAATTCCCTAAGCAGAGTATCAAGTGTGCCATCGCTTTTTTAGTTATCATCATTTGGCATTTGCATTAAATCTTTTATTTAATAAGAAGTCTCCGACTCAGAAAGGAGTTTCCTAATTGCATGAATGCAGGTCTTCGCAATAATTCAGTACTACTTTTGCTAGAGGTAGTTTTGCGCTAAATAAGTCAAGTCTGAAATGAGAACTTAAGGACAGAAGAAGCATGCTTATGCCCATTAGTAGTCCAGTTACACTGCTGCAAATGTCTAGTCTAATATATTTTATTTACTGAGATCGTAAAACAAAACTAAAATAACTCAGCCTTTCATTTTGGGATAACAACAGCTTAGAAACGACTGGCAGCCTCAAAATTATTGAAAGTCATGTTTTAGCTAGGTAATAGGGCAAACAAATTTCAGTATTTTATTACGATGGGAATAATTTTGAATTAGTATAAATCTGGTAATGTCTTGATAGTAAGCAATTTGTTGAACATACGCTAAAGCATTTATTGGAAGCCTTATTCATTTCTCAGCTACATGGAAGATAGTCATGTGCAGAAACTGATGAAATGTAGTTTTTAATACTTGCAAATTATGCGTATGTCCTTGCATGGATATTATTGTACTGTTAATCTCTCTGTCTATCTACAAACAGAATTCTGCTTGACTGGCCCATTTGCTGTTACATAGGAACACTTCCTTGCTTTGCAATAAATATTGCATACTCTTGCCATATTTTGCCTTGCACTGCTGCTAATTCTTTGGCACAAGCTTCTTACGCCTGTAGTACTGGGTACCTCCATGCTGGGGTACAGAACAATTCCTGTGGCAGTTCCTTGTATGTTTCAAAAATTACTCTTTGGAGTTAAATGTGAGAATGAGTGATACCAAATTCTGAATGTTCCTCTTATTGTGAAAGAATTGTTCAGCTTTTAGTAGCTATCCCAAATGAATTTTTAGAACTCGGATCAAGCTCTGTAGTTTCTGTTATACTACCTGGAGGTCAAAAAGGTTTAGCAATATCGTTCTCGCAGGTAAAGTCAATAGAGTTCTTTGCTGTAAGAAGATGTCCAATTGCCACTTCTCATATGTAACACTAGGACTCCATAGTATCGATTTCAGAATGCTTTAAGGTTTACTTTCTGTAAGAAAACTAAGCTTCCTTAAATCACACTAATAATTTATTTTTCCCCCATTTTATATGCAACCTGAAAAACTGGAAGAAAAAGCTGCTCTTGGGCTGATCTAATGACAATGCATTTCCAATCATCTTATGTGAATAAAATAACAATAAAAAACCTTGTTCAGGCAGTTTTGTCTCCTCCTCTAGAAAGCAATACTAGATTGGCTACACTGACACCCTTGTGCTGTAATCCATGGTCACTGATAATCCTGGCTACTTGATTTTTGAGGGCACTATTACAAAGGGTAGAAATGTAGCCATTTGCAAGATACTCTATTTAAATGAAGATGTGTTTGCTTTGCAGGCCTCAGGGTTAACGGTATGGAGCAAATTGCCGATTTTTTCCTGTTAGACAGATTTACAGCTTGGTTTATGGCAGGCTCCATTTCTGTAAGAGGCAGCTGAATTTCCTCTATGAGGAGCAATTTGATATCTATTGATCTCATCTTTTTAGCTCATCACATTTAATGAATTTTCCCTCAAATCCGTTGACTGTATTTTGCCTGGTGAGACCAGTCAGCTTTGGCACTGGTTACCCACCTTCTTGACGTGCTAAGAGAATCAAATAATGCTGCTCTGCATGTTTTCCTGCTGCGGGTTAGAGCATGCCCCAGGGATCCTACAGCAAAGAGCCGGATAAAAGATTTTGCTGCCTTCCAGACCCAGTCAGGGACCCCCTCACCCTCGTGCAACCATTTACCAACTCGGAACCCAAGATGCCTCAGTGGAGTGGAGCAGAGACTAAAGACCCCTTTTCCAAATTACTGGAGCGACGGGAATAATTTTCCTGTCTAGGATGAGCTAAGCATCAGTGCAGCCCAGAAAGAAGAGTGCAATATCAGAGCTGAACTTGTTAGTGTGACAAATAGCTTGTGTGTTTGGGTGGGAAAAATTTGCATATTTTAGAGGGTAATCACAAAAGGTGACTAAACAGTCAGCTTCTGCAAATGGTTAATGGACTTGGTAGAGCAAGTTTGTATTGGAGATACAGCTGGGAGTCCATTTGGGCAGCGGAGAGCCAGTTGGTTAGAAGATATTTGGAGAACTGACAAAGTGGAAACAATTTGTGTTGTTCAGATTGAAAGGGGACAGAGTTGCTTCTGGGCAGAGAATGGACTGAAAACACATCAGTACAGCTAAGGTAGAAGCTGGATTGCTTTAGGGGAAGCAAAGATTATTTGTGCTTGG